AGAATTTCTGAGAGGGAAGTAGAGCAGCAGGCTCTGAAAGTAACTTCTCGTAAGAAGTGTCAGAAGCTGACTTGGTCAGAATCCAGGAAGAAAAGTAAGGATGGTCAAAGGTCAGAAGCTTCAAATTCTGATAGGTATAAGAATGTTTATGAGGGAAATGAGAAGTTTGACAAGAAGAATGTTCAGTGTTACTGTTGCAAGAACTTTTCTTACTATGCCAAATATTGCTGGTCAATCAAAGAAAGGAAGTCAGAAGAAGAAAATATAGCCATAAGAGAGTTAAATGATGAACCTGTGCTATTGTTGGCTTATGAACCTGATGATCTGAATTCATCAGAATGGTGGTATATGGACACAGGGTGTTCAAACCATCTTACTGGAAACAAGAAATGGTTGGTTGATTTTGACTCTGGGAAGAGTACAAAGATCAGATGTGCTGATGATAAATATCGCAATGTAGAAGGTATGAGAAATGTCAGAATCATTCTAAACAATGGGAAAGCAGCAATTATCCAAAATGTATGGTATGTACCTGGCATGAAAAGCAATCTGATGAGTGTGGGACAACTGGTTGAGAAAGGTTTTTCAGTTACCATGAAGGACAATCTTCTGAAGCTGTATGACTGCAATCAGAAGTTGATTATGGAGTCAGAACAGGGAAGGAACATAACATTCAAGGTGAATGTTAGAACTGCAGACTTTGAATGTCTTAGTGCAACAAGTGTTGTCAAGGAGAGTGAGCTGTGGCACAAAAGATTTGGTCATCTGAATCTCATAAGTTTAGGGCATATGAAATCAAAGAATATGGTACATGGAATTCCTACAATCAAGAAGCCTGAGAATTCATGCAAGGTGTGCATGGAAGGGAAACAACCGAGATTACCAGTTGCATCAGAAGTAGCTCCAAGAGCAAAACATGCCTTGGGAATAGTGCATTCTGATGTGTGCGGTCCATTTCCAGTAGCATCAACTGGAGGGAATAAATACTTTGCTTCATTCGTTGATGAGTTCACCAGAATGACATGGGTATCTCTCATAAAGTTTAAACACAAGGTGTTTGCTGAATTCAAGAAGTTCAGACTGAAGGATGAGAATCAGAGTGGTCAGACTCTGAAGATTCTTAGAACTGATGGTGGTGGTGAATATAACTCCACAGAATTCAGAAGATTCTGTGAGGAGAATGAAATTGAGCATGAGGTTACTGCTCCCTATACTCCTCAACACAATGGTATTTCTGAAAGAAGAAACCGTACTTTGCTTGATATGGTAAGAAGCATGTTGAAAGAGAAGAAGCTTCCTCATACTCTGTGGGGAGAAGCTGTTGCAACTGCATGTTATGTACTCAACAGATGTCCAACAAAGAAATTGAAGGAAATAGTTCCTATTCAGAAGTGGACTAGAGATAAGCAAAGCGTTAGTCATCTGAAGGTGTTTGGTTCTGTATGTTACAAACTTGTCCCAGAAGCCAGAAGATAGAAGTTGGATGATATAAGTAAAGTGATGTTGCTGGTGGGGTACCACAGTACAGGTTCGTACAAACTTTATTATCCATAAACTAACAAAGTTGAGTTCAACAGAGATGTCATTGTAAAAGAATCAGAAGTTAGGAATTGGGAAAGGTCTCGTACTGACTCTGATGAAAGAACTCCTGAAGAAAAGTCAGAAACACATGTTTCCGAAGCTGGTAAAGACTCTGACTATGAAGAAGATATAGAAGGAGATGATGATTCTGACTTTGACTTCGATGGTGATCTAGACTTTGAAGACAATCAAGGTTCTAGAGAAAGTCCAATTTCTGAAGCAAGTGCTTCTGAAGGGGAAAGTTCTGGTGTCCAAAGTTCTAAAGGTCCAGTTCAAAGGCAACAAAGAGTCAAAAGCATCCCAAGAAGATTTGCAGAGTTTGACATGTTGCAAGACACTGAAGTAGACTTTGAAGGAGAAGTTATTCAGTGTGCAATGTTAGTAGACTCTGAACCCGTAAGTACGGAAGAGGCTCTTAAGCAGCAAGTTTGGTTACATGCCATGAAAGAGGAACTTGACGCTATAGAGAGAAACAAGACTTGGAAGCTGACAGAACTTCTAAAAGGCACGAAAGCCATCAGCGTCAGATGTGTTTTCAAGCAGAAGCTAAAGCTAGATGGATCAATTGGAAAACACAAAGCAAGATTAGTAGCAATGGGCTCTCTACAGAAGCCTGGCTAGATTACTTTGAAGTGTTTGCACCTGTAGCGAGACATGAAACAATCAAACTAGTGATTGCAATAGATGCTAACAGGAATTGGCCTCTGATGCATTTAAATATAAAATCTGCATTTCTGAATGGTCCATTATAATAACAGATAGACGTATCCAAACCACCTGGATTGAGAAAAAGAATCAGGAAGGGATGGTGTTCAAATTACACAAAGCTTTGTATGGATTGAAGCAAGCGCCCAAAGCTTGGAATTTGAAGATTGATTCATTTTTCAAGGAACAAGGGTTTTAGAAGTGTGAGATGGAGTATGGTGTTTATGTTCAGCATACTTCAGAAGGTAATATGATTCTGGTCTGTTTGTATGTTGATGATATATTACTCACAGGAAGTTCTGAACAAGAGATAGCTGAGTTCAAGAAAGTTCTTATGAATGCGTTTGAGATGACAAATCTTGGGAAAATGAGTTTCTTTCTAGGGATGAAATTTATGTACTATGATAAAGGAATCATTTTGCATCAGATGAAGTATGAACTAGAGCTTCTGAAGAGATTTGAGCTAGAGAGTTGCAAAGTTGCTGTCACACCTGCTGATACGAACAGAAGTTGGACTCTGATTCTGATGGAGAGGATGTGGATGCTACAACCTTCAAACAGTTGGTTGGTTCTCTAAGGTATATGCGTAATACCAGACCTGATATTTGCTATGCAGTTGGAATAGTTAGTAGATTTATGAGTAAACCAAAGTGGTCTCATTACCAAGCTGTTGTCAGGATTCTGAGGTATGTGAAGGGAACTCTGAAGTATGAAGTGTTATTTCCGTCTGGAAGAAAGATCGAATCAGAACTTTTGAGTTATTCAGACTCTGATTGGTGCGGAGATAGAGTGAACAGAAGAAGTACTTCTGGATACTTATTCAAATTTCTGAGAAGTCCTATTTCTTGGTGTTCTAAGAAGCAACTTGTTGTTGCGCTGTCAACCTGCGAAGCTGAATATATTGCAGGCGCTCTGACTGCATGTCAAGCTGTGTGGATTCTGAACTTGCTGAAAGATCTTAAGATTGAGGTAAATAAACCTCTGAAGCTGATGATTGATAACAAGTCTGCAACCAATCTTGCCAATAATCCAGTGCTGCACGAGAGAAGTAAGCATATTGAGATCAAATATTATTTTATGAGGAATCAAGTTCAGAGCGGAATATTAGAAGTTGTGCACTGTAGCACCCAGAAGCAACTGAAAGATGTTCTAACAAAGACTATCAAGACTGATCAATTTCTTCGCTTGAGGGATGTAATTGGTGTGTCAGTTTTGAATAAAATATAAATTAAGGGATGTTGTTAGATTTAATCTATATTTTAGGAATATCTTTTTAAAAGATATTATTATATCTTTTTATATCTTTGTTAGATGATATTTAGGATTTTATTTTGTGTATAAATAACTTAGTGAGGTAGGTCAATATAATTTATTGTAAATCATTATTCCTTATTTTTATAGCCGTCATTTAATATATATTTTTTGTCTTTCATCTCTTCTTTGTGCACCAACCTGAACTATGTCAGACATCTTTAGAATAATAGTCAACTATATATGGACTATTTCAGAGATTTATAGGATGATGACCAACTATATATGATTTATGTCAGATATCCTTATTGTATTTTTTAACAATTACATTATATGTATTTGTTTAAAAGTATTTTTTTTTCAATATCTATTTTATACAATTTATTATTGTGATTAATTGTATATTTAATAAATTATGTTATATTTCATTTTTACTTTAATTTTCTTCTTCAAATAAGTGCTTTTTTTAAAAGGTTTTGAGGAAGATAATTTTAGAAAAGGATTATTAGTGTCATGTGTCTAAAATTTATTAAATTACATTTTTTGGAGGACAATTTCTATGAAAATTCTTATGAATGAATAATGTATTTTTATGTCTTAATGATAAACTTGTATGATTATATAAATTGTTAATCTATTTAATATTTTAATAAATTTTTTTGGTGATCTTCTAATTTTTTTAAATACAAGAGATTTTATATTTAAGAATGAGCTAGGAATAAAAATAGTACAATTTTAAAAATCTTCATTAAAGTTTAAACATATCTTTAAATATTTTGAAATCCAAGATATATTGTAATAATTAAAAAAATTAAACACTTTTATTAAAGTTTAAAATCTTCAAATAAAAAATTGAATTTTTGAAACTCAAAATATTAAAAAAGAAAGTATAAATATAATTTATTAAAATTAAACATCTTCATTTTAAGTATAAGATATTTAACAGAACTATAAGCTTCAAAACATCAAGAAAAAAAAATCAAATTTCAATTTTAAGTAAGTAAGGGATAGATTTGATTGTACATTAATTTTGTAATATTAAAACTCGTCCTAATTTTTACTTTCATTTAAGTGATAAAAATATAATTTAATAATTCAAGTGCAGAATATAACTTCTGGCTACAGAGAAATAAGTTTTTATGGGAACATAATTTTTTTGGCAACTAAAATCATTAATGGAGCAGGAAGAAGAAACGATTGGAATTATAGAAGGAGAAGCAAACAAGTGGCAACAATGTTAATCTTAATTAATGACATGACCGTTACGTCAATCACCAAGTTCTTGGAAAGTCATTACGATAAGTTCAGTTTAACCTAACCAACCATTATATAATCTTCTTGATGCCACATTTTTAATACTACACTTGAATTTCTTCAACTCTATCCCTAACTGTCAGCCTGGAGAATTCTACAGTTTTCTAAAACATTTGAGAACTCGTCTCGGACAAGATGAGCTGCAGAAGATGGAGGCGCTAGAAAAGCTTGAGAAGCGTGCTGCTGCTCGTGGCTTAACCCTTAAGGAGATGGCATCGGTTTCTGTATCCGAGGCTCAGCTGTCACATCTTTGGAAACCGAAGAATGCAAATAAGTTGAAGGTTGCTCAAGAGGTTCTTGATGCTTTAGATTGTGATGAATTGAAACCAAAGAATGCTGATAAGTTGGAGATTGCTCAAGAAGCTCTTGCTGCCTCTGATTATGATGAGCGAGGTGTTCCTAGCGGGATCCATGCAACTGAGGAGAATCTTCTTGGTGGAGGAGGATCGGATTGTGTTAGTCCAAGGATGAAACGGCCTAAACTAGAAGTTCCTGATCCTGAAATCGAGAAATAGTAGTCTCTGGGGTTGCAATGTTAAATGTTACTCATCAATTATGGAGTATGGAGTAGTATGCATGTATTGTATGTGTGGAGGGAGGTGAGGATCCTAGACGCTTAACCACTCATAGTTTTGTTTTGTTACTTGTTTCATGGTTTTCCAAATGCTACATGATTAAGAGAAATACTTGCATCAATACCAACATGTGATTTTACAAATAATCAATTATAACTATTTATTAATTAAAAAACAATAATTTTTTCTCTCCCACACTATCACAATTATCATCATAAATCCAATTAGAAAAAATTAAAATTTTAATACTTTAAAATATATTTTTTTTTATTGGTTGTTTCTAACATCAAAGATTTAATTTCGTATTCATGCAATTTTTTTTCCTATTCTTATATGATCACAACCCTAAATAAAAATGTCTTAGACACACTCACATAATCTAATTTTAGTTTTTATTATTTTAATTAACTCAAATAATTAAAAAAATTTATTTATTTTACTTCTGAGTGTGTGCCCAAGTGTTGTGCCCATATGTTTGAGACTAGCTAAGACTTGCTCAATGCTACAATTGATGGATTGTTAATTGTATTAATCCTTTTGTTTTGTTTGTTTTACTTATTTTATTTTATTTTGTAGTTACTATAATTTAATATTTCACACATAAAGTATAGGTGTTTAAATTCAAATCTGTTTAAATAAAAACTATAATTTATTTTAAAAATTGAAAATTGCTAAAATCGAAAGATTTGAATGTGTTTAAATTCTCTTTTTTTTTTTTTGTAAAAACCACTATATCGGATTATATTTTAAATTAAAATTTTAACACCGATTAATATCTCTTTATTTTTAATAATTAATTTGTTTCTGTTCGTACCTGATCAGAGTTGGACCGTCACAGCGGGTTTCGAGTTAGATTTGAAGGAGATGGGGGTACTTGCAAGACACTCCGATGGCAAAGTGAGAGATGAAATGAGCAAGTAAGTGAGTATAGGTGTGAATGAATGAATACCTGATCCTCTCGAAATAGAGGGTATTTATAGCCCCCAACGTTGGGTTGATCAAACAGGTCCAACAAAGGGACTGTCAGGTTCTACGTGAGTAGTGGGGACCTGCACGTGGTCCTCTACCTAGATGATGCTCTCCGCAGGATAGGGAGGGTAAAGATGCGATCTTCCCGGGACCTTGAGGACTCCGCGAAACCCGGAGAGGTTGAAAGTCTGCCCTACGAGGAGGGTACTCGAGCAGAACTTGGATTGGGGTGTTCCTCGTCGGGGACGTTCCTCGCGGGCACCGACGGGACGTAGTCGCATTCGACCACTTACCCATGATCGGGGTGTGCTCGGAAGATCGAATGCTCAGTATGATACGTTGACAAGTTTGGATTGGGCCTCACTGTTGATTGGGCCACGGACAGGCCCAGTCCAGAACAGGAGCCCCCCAAGTCGTTGCTCCTGGTACGAGAGTTATGACTTGATTCAAGTTCGCCCTTTCGCGAGACTCGCTTGCACGACACATGGGTTTTCAACCGGGGAGATGAGACATCGCCCGGTTTGTGATTTTCCCCGTGCAGCGATCGAGAAGTGTTCGAGAAGCGCTTGTAGGGAGGTGGTGACGCGTCAGTTAGACACGTGGTACGACTCTTGGAAACCACAATGCCGCCCTAGGGAGCAGGGTCATCATTGTCTACGCGAGTAGGCATCGAGGACGGGGGCGGTTCGTGGTTCCCCGACGCGACATTTCATATTCCACGTCATCTCTATAAATAGGGCTTCAGGGCCCATAGTTTGTTTTCACATCTTTGCGCTTCTCATATTTTCTCTGTTTTCAATCATCTTGAGTTTTCCTAGCGTCGCTGAGACCGTCGCGCCATTTGCCGTGTGATCATCTCCACCACCGTCGCTCTTCACTCTTCTCCCAAGTAAGTGTTTTTTCCCTTTGATATCTCATGTTGTAGATAGATTTTGATGGCGTTTTAGTGGTAGAATATCGTATCTGGGGATTGTGCCCGAGAAATTTAAGCACCCTAGGCGCCTGATTCATGTTTGTGCCCGAGATATTCATAAGTTTAGGCATACGGTTTGCGATCGTGCCTGTGATACTCATGTGTTTGGCTAGTAGATTTATGAACCTGGTCGGGAGATTCATCCTTTCGTTAGTATGTAGGCTAGTTTTCCCCGTGGTATTCTTGTATCGGGCCAGCAACATTATGAACTTAGTCGCGGGATTCATCCTTCGCTCGCGATATTCATGCCATGCTCGCGTCGTTTATGATTGATACACGTCTGCCGCTGAGGTTGGTGTTTGGTCGAGGTCCTCACGTTCCCCGTTTTTCATGCGAATGGCTGTTGATTTCGTATGAGTGTTGCTATCTTCTCCCCGTCTTTGTGGTGGAAAAGCGGATTTGCTGTCGAATTCACTAGTTTCCTGTACTTTGCAGGTAAATGGCTGATATTCTGGAGTCCTCGGGGCGCAACGATGTCGAGGAAACAAGCATTGTGGAGGAAACTATCAACCTGGTCGACACCGTCGATGACCCCACTCTGGATTGGGTTGGTGCTGAACCCCGGGGAATAGCTTCGATCTACAGCTTTTTCAATAGACAAGCTTACACTGTCATCGAGTATGGCGGCAACCAAGAAGGATTTCGAAGAAACTTTAAGATTATGAGGCCGACGAGGGAGCCCGTATCTGCTCGGAGTTTACACAGGATGCATTTCCCATGTACGAGATCGTATTTAAAGATTCCGGGCTCCGGTTGCTCTTCAATGACTTCCAGGTGGGAGTGTTCAACCATCTGAACCTGGCCCCCTCCCAAATTCATCCTAATGCGATTGCCTTTCTCCGGGCATTCGAACTCACCTGCCGCTTCTTGAGGATTGGGGCGACGATTCCCCTGTTCTTGAGGGTTTTTTACCTACAACGGAAGTCCCGAGGAGGGAAGCACAGCTGGGTGTCCCTTAAGCAGTCAAAGAGACTGTTTAGGATGTATATGGATTATGTGCGAGATTTTAAAGATAAGTGGTATATCTTGCAGCCGTCTACCCAGACAGCCATAGATTCACTGTTCGAACTGGCCGCTCTGGTGGTCGAGGATGGGGAGCCGTGTTTGGATGCTGAGGGTAATCCCGAGATTGGGAAAGTCTCTAAGTTTCCCATTCACTGGTGTTCGGGCCACTACGACCATGGACCTGGATACTACCACACTCCTATTGGGGGTATGAATGTTGAGGACGAGGAAGCTTACAGCGTCCTGAACAAGTTTGTCGATGGCTTCTTTCCTGCTCGATGGGTTACGAGGGAAGGGGACGATGTTCTTGATGAGGATGGCTATCTGACGCTCTAGGCGTGCCCGATCAATACCAAGGTGCTCGTCGAGTGCCAATCTTACGGGCAAGCCGTGGACCTCTTAGGTTTCTTGCTTTGCTCTATTGACATTCCTCTTTATTTGTTTTCTTTAATGTAAGTAGCTAACCCAAGTACACTTCCTTTGCAGGTCACATGGTAGAGCGTCGCGAGAGGTTGCTGAAGCTAACTCAAGACAAGAAAATTAGTAAGAGATTGGTGCGGCTGTAACAAGCCACGCGGATAGGCCCGACCCCTAACCCGGGCATGGAAGGATCTAGTGGGTCCTCGGGTTCCCCGGACGCCGAGCGCCAATCTGCTTTGATCAGCAAGAAGCGGAGTCAACCAGATGATGAGATCGAAGTGACCGACGGAGGGGCGGGTGCCCCGGCCTTCGGCCTGCCACCCTGCTTTGTGGAGAAGGATTTCTTCGAGGGATTTCCCTTGTCCGTGTCCGACAGCGAGGCCGACATCATCAGGCGGCTCGACAAGGAAGGCCGGAGGAAACACCTCGCTTCCAGCATGGTCGGGGTGGTAAAAATGGTCGAGATGGAGGTTGTCCTCGCGGGAGAAGGGTTAGACTCCTTGGATAGGGTCAGAGAGATGGAGTCGAAGAAGGTGGCTCTTGTGGACAAGTCTCACAAACTGAAGGCTGCCCTCGAACGCTTCGAGGAAATGTTTCGCGAGCAGTCTGACGTGTTGTAGGGGGAGAAGGAAAGGGCCAACAGGGCTCTCGAGGAAAGAGACTGCCTCCATCTCGATAAGGAGCGATTGGAGAGTGACAACCAATGGCTATCGAGAGAGGTCGAGGACCTGAAGGCTGTTATGTTTCCCGCTGAGGACGAGCCAGAAGGGATGTCCGACTTGCGTTCACGCTCTGACTTTATCGCTCGCATTCAACTCCTAGAGTCGGACTGCATTGGCGCTTTGGACGATGGGTTTGAGGTTGCGGTGAGTCAGCTGCCCGCGCTAAATCCGAGTTTTAATACCGAAGGGGCTAGAGTTCTGTCCCAGATCGTCGATGGCAGGGTTGTGCCTCCCCCTGACTCTCTTGACGTCGATGTCAGCACTCCGGGGATAGATTGATGCTTTGTTGGTGTTTGGTTCTGCGCGCCCGTTTGTTGTTTTTTGGGGCCTGCGTGCCCGTATTTGTTTTTGGGGCCTGCGTGCCTGCTATTATTCTTAGTTTTTTTTGCCGTCGTGCCTGGACTGTAATTTTGGATATCACCGGCCCTTATGGTCGGTATATTATTAATCCTTGTTTATGATTGCATGTTCGACGAATGATTTGTTTGCAATTATCTGATAGTATTTTATGTATATGCTCGACTGTTATTATGGTAATGAATTCTTGGAAAAGTTTGTGTTCGGGTGGAGATATTCGTTCGACCCCTGTGACGGTTCGACACACTTCGAAATGTGTCGAATGCGCGTAGTAGAATCCGCGTGTCGGGCGTATGACCGCGATTGGGGTCCTACGTCCGTGGCGTGAACTGTCCATCGCGAGCTGGGTGTTCTGCCATGTGGGGTACTTGACAGTGGAGCTCGATCAAGGTGTCCCTGCCGGGCATGTACGTTTGGTTCATCGAAGTGAACGATAGTATGCCCTTGTTGGTTAGTAGGTCGGGTCCGTACCTCGACTCGCCTACGTGGTCAAG